CACCTTATCCTCTGTCATAACATTGATCCCCCTGCACTATAACTGCTAATCTCCTCTAGATCTCCTCATTTCTCTCAGGAATCTAATCTCACTGAGGTCAGGGATTTTGTATCTCCAGCATCTGGCTCAGGAGAAACCAAATAATTAATGATGAGTGAATGAGTCCCAGAATTCTGGAAGCAAATATCATTGGCCCCTGAAGAAGGACCTCACTTAGGAGAGAGAGGGGGAGGGAAACAGAGTTACATTGGTCAAACAGGTAGGAAAAGCACTAAAATAGTATTCTATCATGGAAATCTAGGAAAAAGAGGAGAAATGTTTGAGGAATTAGCAAATCCTATCTAGAGGTGAATGAGAATGAGAATTTAAAAAATGTTTTGGGATTTTTCCCAGTCATTAGTGGCTATAGATAGAATCAAGATCTCAAGGGATTAAGGAGAGAACACAAGATAAGGAAATGAGGGCGTAAGGTTAAAAAAACATGCAGAGAAGTGAGGCCACGAAAGGCAGATTTGGAAGTGGTTGAGCAGAATGACAGAATCAAAGGCAGCATCCTCCTGAGGGAGGAGAACAGTGTTTGAGGGCAGAGATGGGAGGTTCCTTCAGTGTCCATCTCCGCGTCCTCTGGTGTCACCCCTGCTGGTGATGGAGGAGCTGAGCTCTGAGCATCTCGCTGGTCTGTGTCAGGCTGAGTCAGCAGTCGGTTTATTGAGAAGCCATGTGTGCTAAACCCTGTACTAACCCATTTTCTTTGAATGATGTTGCATCTTCCTTTTCCTACAGGGAACATGGTAGAATGGTGCTTACCTCAAGATATTGACCTCGAAGGTGTTGAGTTCAAGTCTATGGCCAGTGGGTCCCATAAAATCCAATCTGATTTCATGTAAGTACTTCTGAACTGGAGTCTTCTTCGTACCATTCCCCCCATCTCCACACTTTCCCCAAAGCAGAAGGGCTGTTATTAGGAGGTCTTCATGTGCTGTGTGTAAATGCCTTGAAAATACATGGATAGTTTTGTGTTTACATCATTTTTCTAGCGAGATGTCTAGCTTTCATCAGGTTCTCAATGGGCTTCATGACCTACAAATCTTAAGAATCCCTACCTGTAGAGGTTCTCTCAGTGTCTCAGAAATTACATGGGCCTCACCTGAGGTTTGGTTTTAATGAAAGTGCACGGTTTCAGCCCCGTGTGAGTTAACTGAGGACATCTATGTGTTCAACCTTGAAATTCCAGCTTTAAGTCAGGCCATTTTTTAGTCCTGTGTAGTGGCGCATTCAGAGAGTTTTGTGAGAAGGAACAATGGAAAGACCTTAAGGGTAATGAAGTGGCTTTAATCTCCTCATGGGGCTGAATTCATGACTGATACAAGTGTGAGAAAGAGGAGAAAATAAAACGGCAGCTCAATGAAAAACATCAGAGCCTCAGGAAGTGAGGGAAGAATCAACGTGGTTTATGATACGAAAGAGAGTCTTAGTTCCAGAGGAGCCTAAAGAGGAATGTTGGTTCTGCTTCTCCCATGCAAGTCATTAGTTGTGGTGCAGGAGAGAAGAGATGTGTCCCATGATCGCGGGCAGTTGAGCAGCAGACCTGCCAGGGACCAACTCCCAGCTCCAGCCAGGTGACCCTTGGCAAGTTCTATAATCTCTTCAAGCCTTGCTCGTCTCGTCGGTGAGGTCAAGTGGCTTGGCCTACTTGTTTCTTTGAGGCTGAGCTTTGTCATTGACAGCCCTGGACACAGTTCATTTGTTTTGTTTAGGATTGCATCTCAAAATTCCTCTCTGATCTTGAGCCACGCTATGTATTTGGTCTCTTCTAGCTATTTCCGAAAGGGGCCCTTCTTCGGCCTGGCCTGCTTTGCCAACATGCCAGTGGAGAGCGAGCTGGAACGTGGCGCGCGGATGAAGTCTGTGGGCATCCTCTCTCCCTCCTACACGCTGCTTTACCGCTACATGCACTTCTTGGAGAACCAGGTTCGGTACGTGGCTTCCGTACATGTGCAGGGAGGCAGCAGGATCCACCAGCTGGTGCATATGGCATGAGCCCTCGGAGACAGCACTTGCGTGCCAGAGCAGCAGATGTCTTTCCAAGAACATCCATAGCGATGTTTCACGCCTCGGGTAGTGTCCTTTCATTTCAGCCAACGTCCTGCATGATGAGTCTTCACTCTATAATGAAAGGCGGGGTATATTCTGCCTTCAGTTTGGATTTAATACTGCCATCACTTTTTTAAATTAAGTCATTTGTTGACAGGTACATGATCTTTGTTTATTCAAAGCCATAATAGTTACCTCCTCGCCCCAAGTTGGCAAAGAAATCCTAAACTTTTTAAAAGCCTACTCTTTTTATTATTGGGATTCTTACTATGATTGGGATAATAGGAAGAGAACTTAAAAAAAAATTTTTTTTTTTTGATAGAGACAGGCTCTTACTATATTGCCCAGGCTGGTCGTGAACTCCTGGAGTCAAGTGATCCTCCTGCCTCAGCCCGCCAAAGAGCTGGGATTATAGGCATGAGCCAAGTTGCCTGGGATAGGAAGAGAATTTTTAACAGAAGCAGCAAAACCATTAGTTACTTTACATTTTTTTCATCATGCAAGTAACCTAATTACATTTCAGATTTTGAGGGGAAAATTTATCCCTAATCCCTGAAGCACTGACAAAATGTTACCACTTCTTTTCTGTGTATGTGTGTACATTTAAAATACATATTTGAGTATATATAATATATACTTTTATAGTCTATACTTTTAAAGTTTATCACTTTAAACATTTTTATGCAACATAATTGTGATCTTCAGCTTTGAAAGTGTGAACTTTGTTGTTTGTGAAAAAAACATGTTTATTATTTAAAAATTTATATGAAAGTACAAAGGATTTTTAAAAATCCTCTCAAATAGTAACACTCACAGATATCCATTGACAATATTCCATGAATGTGATTGTAGAATACAAATATCTTTACAAAAATAGGATTAATATTTTATAGATTTAATTTTCTCAAATAACAGGCTGTGTTAATGACATATATGAAACATAATTTTACTTATAACTTCAAGTAAATATTTTTTCACAGTAAGATACACTATTCATTGAAATATTCCTCCAAAATTAAGAAAAACGATTATGAAAAATGTGACAATATGTGACAAAATGTAACAATTGTTTACTGAGAAACTATATATAAACATTAAAACTGATCAGGAATGGTGGCTTACGCCTGTAATCCCAGCACTTTAGGAGGCCAAGGAGGATCATTTTAGGAGGATGAGTTGAAGCCAGGAATTCAAGACCAGCCTGGGCAAGAAAGCAAGATTCCAACTCTACAGAAACAAACAAATTAGCCAGGCATGGTGGTGTGCACCTGTAGTCCTAGCTACTTAGGAGGCTGAGGTGAGACGATGGCTTGAGCCCAGAAGTTCTGAGCTACGATTGTGCCATTGCACTCCAGCCTGAGTAACAGAGCAAGACCCTGTCTAAAACATAAAAGTAAATAAAAAACTAAAAAAATTCTTGAATGGTTGAATTTTACCATCAAACACGTTTCTTTCTTTGAAAGGATCTTGCATGATCAATACTGTTGGCCTGTTCCCTTTATCCTCAGCTGGTTGTACAGTTCTTGAATGCTT